ATCCTGGACCAGGACTGACTTCCAAACTATTTGTGATGTCACAAATCATGGTCGTAGGCCCCACCCCTTACAATCAGATTTTCCATGAGCTAGGGCTGCATGATTACGGCCAGAATGATAATCAGAATTATTCTGATTTGCTCTTATGCAGTTGCACTGACACCTGGTTAATACCACAGGTCCCAGAATACTGGAGGCAGCAAAACTAACTTGTTTATGTGATAAAGTAGTCAGGCAATAATTTAACTTTTATTCATCATTCTGTGCGCAACTGTGATCTGATTTTATGCTACACACAGCATGAGCCTGTGAACAGCAACAGTGGAGGTAACTTTGGTTACCTGGTTGTGAAGTTGGAGGTGTGCAGCATGTCGCCTGCAGCTCCTCCTCCTCCAGCTCACAGTGGCTGCTGCTTCTTGTTCCATTGCTCCCCGATAAATTTCCAACTGATCCACTGGCAAAAATGTCCAAAAATGACGTTGGTTAAACAATTGCAGCCAGTGCCATGCTAACTGACAAACACTTTGCACTGCCTGTGACTGGCTTACTTCAAAATAAAAGTCAACTTATTTCACCACTTAAATGCTTTTAATGTGAAGCTGCATTTTTTTCTGTGAATAAAAGTATCCAGGCTGCAGCTGCAGGGTGTAGCTGGCTGTACTTTCTGTGAGCCGAGCACACATTTTAAACATCACTACTGTAGACGATCACGTCGATTTAATTGTGGGAAGCCAAAATTGTGATAGCGATTAATATTCGATTCATTGTGCAGCCCTACAATGAGCATGGAGAAACTTCAGCAGACGAATGTGAAAACATTCTTTTGTATCATATTCTGTACATCCATCATGCTGCACAGTGAAGATCAAACATCTCACTGTAGGAACAACAAGAAGAAATACACTTATTGAAGTAGAAGGGGACTTTAGGTATTTTTAACATAGGAGCAGGCTATGTTATCGTTTTAATTAAATATCTCATGCTGTTGCCCTTGGGTTGACAGTGACAACCTCCTGCATGTTACAGATCCATCACAGGTCCCCTCTGGTTTCATATCAGTGTGTGGTTCTTGGCAGATTTCAGCAGGTGAGCACATCTGTGAACACACGTGTCATTTGTGAAAACTCAAGTCAAGTCTCCCAGGCTGTCAGCGACCTGCTTGTGGGTGTTAACTGAACAATCAGATGCTGCATACAGAGGGAAGAGGGTGCAGTCATGGAGAAGGAGAGAGCCAATTGAACTTGTTGATTGGTTTAAGAACTATGGGTGCAGTAGTCTTGGGTCACACAGCAGGAAATGAAAAGATGGTTCTCTTGATAACTGCCTAGAGTGCTGAGATGTGGCTCGCTCTGTGTATGAGGGTTGAGGCTCATTATTTTTCTAGTATCCACTGCCTGCCAGCCATATTGGGTGATGATATACTGCCTTCAGGCTTTGGCTCCAAGAGTACAGCAGAGTGACGTGATTTGTCGGAACATTCTTCATTTATCTTTTTATTCTTTGAATATTTCGATTTGCCCCCTGAATGTCTAAATAATCTTTTTTAAGCACTGTTCTAAGGGTTTATATAATAATAAGTAGATTTTAGCAGTGTTCCTGATCCTGCAGCCATTACAATAAGAGTTTACCGTAAGAGGACCCTCCATTTGCACAGTCAGTCACATGTACTGTAAGTGGGGCACACAGCGAGTGGAGGGACCTCCTTAGTAATTGGTGGGCTGCACACCGAGCAGAAGGTATAAAGCTTGAAATTGCACTTGCAACATCTCCACCATGCAGACAGATGGCAAAGTAAAGATAGCGACACCATCTCGCCCGTCACCCTCAGTCACACGTAAGTCCTAGATCTCTGGGGAACTATGTTTGAGTTCCCCAAACCGGTGTTAGTGGAGTAACTTGTCAAAGTTGCAGGAGGAGGGAAAAAAAAAAAAAAAGCACTAAACTTGTGAAATCTTACTTGGTTTTCGGCTTTTCTTTGTTCCTCAAATGTGCCACCACGCTCTGCTGTCCTCTCAGCCTTCAAGGTGAAACACAGCCCTCAAACACAGAAAGAAAACATAATGGAGAGAAATAACTTTAGCATTGCCATGGAAACTAGCCTTTCCAGCACTGGTACAGGAATAAGAAGTTAGGAGAAGGGGTTGAAGAATCACAAGTTTTTTTTCCTTTACAGCTCTCTCACATTTTGCTTTATTTCAAGGCCTGTTTCTCTCAAGTGTGTTGTTATATGCTGATATGTGTAGTGGCTTTGTTAACTCAATGCATCACCCTCTGTAACAAAGCCTTTGCCATTCTTTGATTGAAAATGTATGGTTGTATAACTGACAAGGTTGGGGGGGGGGCTCAGGGTTTGGGGGTGCTTTAGCGTTTCTGAGCTGAATAAAGGCCATGGGTGGAATTTTCCTCCATCTTAACACCTCCACCCCGAATCATCCCTGAACTGCCCCATCCAACCCCCTCTCCCTCTGAGTCACTCTGATTTACCTCATCAAATGAACAGAGCCAGAGTCATGATTTTATGCTGGTGATGTTGGCATTTCTTTGGTCATGTTTTGCTGTTACCTTTCCCTTTTTCTCCCCCCGCTCCCCAAGATGTGCCATAATCTAATCCCCACTGCCATGTTTTTCAAATGTTTCCTTGACTGTGACCTTTACACATTTGCCAGACTGAAGAGAAAACTGTTATGAAGTCAAATGTAGTGTTACTGATATTCTGCCATGTTGTTAACATACTCCCAATATGTTTAACCATTAACTCCAGCTGGGCTTCCAGTCTGTGGTATTCCTCCTGAATGAATGCAACTTTTTACAAATGCTATTATTAGACACCCAATAAGCTTGATTTAATTTGGGTGTTCATTTCACAGTGGGCTAAAAATCAGATTACATAACTAGCTTGACAACAAATTCTGGCTCATTAAGATGATTTTTTTAAGTGTTCACTTGTGTGGGTGGCTGTTCAAGAAGAACATCGTTGCCCCATGTTTATGTGTGGTGTTTGGGAGGGAAGTGGGCATCAGGGAGCAGTAGTGTTTAATACTGTCTCTCAGTGTACTGAGAGTTTGGGTTAGAAATTAGGGGCATCAGTCTCCTGCAGCAGCTCCTGAGGGTTTGCATACAGATTAAGCTAATTAGAAATGAGCCATAGAAACCACCATGCCCAAGGGGTGAAAATGGGATTGAGCCCATTCTTCATTAGAATTTAAAAAAAACTAAATGAATAATTCAAGAATAGATTCCTTTACATTCTGATTATTTTTCACCCAATAAATAAACTAAAGAGGAGAGGAGGTAAAGAAGGGGGGGAAAGTTGTTTATCACTATCCGAGAACAATCTTACACAGCTTTCTTTTTGTAATTTTTTTTTTCATGCAAAAATCATGCGGCCAATTTGTTGATGTAAGTGACCTGAACCTCGTGGTTTGCTATCTTATTTAACCAATCTCAGCAGAAACATCTGAGCATTAGTGTAGTAAGCATAGGTAACACTAGACAGTTAGCAGTGAACGATAGGCTGTGTAGTACAATAGATGTTAAGTTGTTCAGTGTAATTTGTAGTCTACTTTTATCTTGTTTTAGTGCTATAACATGTAGGTCTATGCAGTATAGGGAGATAGGTCAGTGCAGGTGCAGGATACAGTATTTTCTTAGATCTTGTATTTTATTAAAGTTCAGAGTTAGTCAGCATATTAACTTTTTTAAATAGAACAGACTAAACTTTTAGAACTAACCTCATGTTAAGTTTTAGTGCTGTTCTAATACTGGTGTTGCTGTATTCATTTGAAATGTTTTTCTTTTGTTGATCTGGAGGTGGTCTCTGTCTCAGGTGGTCTCTAACACTCTTTTTTTCCTCCGTTGTCTCTTTCTTATCCTAGGAGGTGAATTAGTGTTGCCCATAATAACGGTGGACTCCCTAGACCCCCCATCCATCGCCACCCGCTACCCAGTAATCCCCCCACCCCCCACCACCTACCGCCCTTTCCTCACCCTACTCGAAACCACCAAAGAGTCCCTCCCCTTGCCAAATGGCCGACCCCCCTGCCCCTTGGACCAGGAGGACTGCGAGGAGACCATCGAGGTTTCGGCGTACGGCTCGGGGGAGATGACCGGAAGTCGGATGACGAGGACTATTACAAAAACTCCCCCCTGGTCACCGACAGGACTGTCCTCCCTCCTCCCCCGGCCGTCGAGGGTGGGGTCCAGAACCCCCGAGACCGCCATTTCTCTCGCATCCCCAACTCCCACCGTCCACCTCTTTCCTCCACCCCCACAGCCAACCCCGACCAGCTCGGCCCGCGCATCAAGCCGGCTGCCGGCGGCAGTAGCAACAATATCCCCGCTGGGAAAATGAACACCCGGGACCAGGTGCTGCTGCCGCCGGCCCACCCCTCGTCAGACCCGGGCCATCGCAGAGTTCCAGGAATAACGTACCCCCCAAATTTCCCCCATGTTCCCACTCCAGACCCCACGTCTCCTGAGAGAGGGCTCCCCGGTGCCGTGGAGGTGCAGCAGTCCAGCAGCACCACAGGAATGGTGGTGGGCATTGTGGCGGCCGCCGCCCTCTGCATCCTTATCCTGCTCTACGCCATGTACAAGTACCGCAACCGCGACGAAGGCTCCTACCAGGTGGACCAGAGCCGCAACTACATCAGCAACTCAGCCACGCAGAGCAACGGAGCCCTTGTAAAGGAGAAACAGCCCAGCACTGCCAAGACGGTCACCAAGAACAAAAAGAACAAAGACAAAGAGTACTACGTCTGAGGGCACACCGCCGTGACACACAGAGACAGACAGCAGACGCACTTAGAGAAGGAAAGAGACGAGAGAGAAAGAGAGAGAGAGAGAAGGCAGTATAAAGAAAACATAACAGAGGTAAATTCATTCACAACTCAGTATTGTCAGGTGGCCATACATGTTACCAATTCCAGTCTATTCAGAGCGACAGCAAGGTGACATCACAGTTCTGTCCACACCTTTCAGCTTTGATTGATTTGACTTATTAAATGTTAACCACGGTGTGAATTCAAGGAAAGCCTATTACACCTCAGATCTCTACACATACTGTGCCAACAACAACCGTGTACCAAATGCTGATAAAACAGTGATTTATGGATTAGTACATGACAGGTTATTTAATATCTTGAGTACTGTAAGAAAGCACCACCATCAGTATTTGTGTCAAGGTCTGTACTTAATTCTGAGGCGAGCTTGTGGTGTAAGCAGTCACCTTAGACAGTATCAACATATTATTTTCCAACTAGGCTTGAATTAGCAACTTGACATCCTTCTGGAAAAATCAATATACTGCCAGCTTACAGAAACACTGTGTCAAACCCAGCTCTCCCACCTCTGTAAGCGTTGGACATCTCTGATCTCTCACCTTTCGTCAGACCTCTCTCTCTTCCTCTCATTCGCTCATGTACTCTGTTTCTCTCCTTGTCTACGGTGCTGAGCAGCTGATGCAACATGAACTCTGCCGTGTTTCAAGCATGTAGTATTCATTTACGAAAAAGAGATAAAAACTGTTTTTCTTTCTGTGGAGTTTAAAAAACAAAAAATATGACTATGATTGATGATCATAACAACGTTAAACGTAGCAATTATGTGAGATACCACCGCTCCGACCTAATGGATGCTAACTTGTACGTTTAGCTGCCAAAAACTTGTTGAGGCCAAAACCCCTTGGTCGTCCTTTGTTCCAGCAGATCTGTGTCATGTGTTTCTGGGGCTCCGAGGCACCCCCTAGTGGGCCAGCAGAGAAACTGCGTCACGTCCTTACAGTTACTAATAACCGAAAAACAGAAAAAACCTCCAGCAAACAAGATGAACTCTGTTCTATATAATTATAAATATATGTATAGACGTTGCAGAAACATATGGACCTAAAGCGTGAGCGAGTGGAAAAGCAAAAGTACGCTGATAATGCACAGCGAAGACGGACTTTAGGATTTTCGACGTCAGAACAGTTTCACCGCCCAAACCCCCGTCCAGACCCCACCCCTATCATGAACAGTACGGCTGATGCAATGCCTTGCTGCAAGACTCAGTCACTTTGGTTTGCTCTTCTATTTTTATTTTTTTTATTTGATTCTTTTCTCTGGAGAAATGAGAGACATTTTAGGGAAATTCTGAATTCATTCTAGCTGGAGTTCCACTGTGGAGAGAGATACCTTGCAGCTGAAAAAGCAACTTGTGTCTTTCGCCCCTCTCTAGCCTGACTGGACTGATGGCAGCCAATGGGCAAAGCAAACTTTGTGGGAAGAGCACACAAACAAAAAGGTGAACGGCAGTTCCCTGGAAGATGTACAACAGAACTCTAGTATTCCAATTTTCTCAACTCTATTAAAAAAAGAAAACTGTACCATGAAAAGAAAAGAAAAATCCTGAAAAAAGTTTGTGAAATGTCTAAATATTTGACTCTCATCCCATTACTAAGAGAAATGTGTTTTCCCTACTATCATTCCTGTTTGGAGTAAAAAATGACTATGATTCTGGGAAACTGAAATTTCTATGTATTTTCTTTTGGTAATTGAGCAAATGTGATTTGGGTTATGAACATGAAACCACTTGTTCTTCTTTTCTAGGAGAGAAAGGTTCCTCTCCTTTTATTCCATCTGTCACCCTCAATCTATTTTTCGTCCTGCATCTATTCCTTTTTCTCTGTATGGCAGATTGTATGTCACCCACACCCGGTGGAGAAAGCAGGCTCTATCCATCCTCCATGTTTTGTTTTTTTATTTGTTTTATATCTATTTCTGTCTATATGGCTGGAGACAAGATGGCAGCCATTTCATATGACAGGCTCCATCGATTCACCCTCCTGCCACGTTAGTCTGGTTTCTCTTTCTCCATTCCAAGCATACTCCTCCCAGTATCTTCCTGTTCTTTCTAAATGTTATTGTAAAGTGTTCCAGTGAGATGACTCTAAATATGTGTACATTAACAGAGGGAATACACTTGGTTATATACTTCTTACTCCCGGTGTCATGTGGTCTCTTTATCGTCTCCTTGTCTCAATCTAATTTGATTTTAGCCCAATGAATATTTGGACAGTTATAAAAACTTACATTTATATATAGACAAAGCTGGTGTTTATATTAGTTAGAACTGAACCAGTCAAACACCAGGCTAACCAGGTCTTGCTGGTAACATATTTTTGTTTATTCCCTTTATTTTAAATTAGACCTCTGGTAAAAGAGGTGTTCTAGAGTTGCTGATGGTTTTATCCAGAGTGACTTACAGTATGTGCATTCAACCCAATAAGTAAAACCCAAAACTTGCAAAACACATCTAATTTCAATCCTTGTGACTGAAGAAATTTCAACTCCAAAATATGTCTTGTTCTTAAAGTCTGCTGTTTGAATATACAACACACACACACACACACACACACACACACACACAACTTCAGTGGGTTAAATGTAAGACCCTTTAAAGACCATTATAAATGCAATGTAAGACTTATTTTATGTCAATACTGGCAAAAAAGAATGAAGGAAAATTGGTATTGGTTCCATGTTGGTTTTGTTGTGTAGTTGTTACAGCATGAGCAATACAATTTTTTCTTAAAAACACATTTAAAAGTGAGACTAAAAAATGCAACTTCATATAATGTTAACTAACTACGATTTTTAAGACCTGTCAAAATCATATTTAAAGACATGTTAAGGCTTAACGTTCAGATTCCTTCTTCACAACTCTAATAAGAAAATACTTTTTTTTAGTAAGTAGCCAATCAGTTTGGTGAAGATGTTTAAAAACCGTGGTGAAAGCATGCTAATGCTCCAAAGAGCAATCACACAACTCAAGTACAGTCCTCAACACCTCTCCAATCAGGAGCAACATGCAGTCACAGCAGCTTTACTTCTGTTTCTGTTTAAAACTGAGGTGAGTGCTCTAATGTCGTAGTCATTTACTTACTTACAGTTTTAAAACTCAAAACTATCTGATCATCTAGATTGAGATTGAGATTGAGAGTCTCAAATGCACATAAATCTTCTAGGTATACTGCCACTGATAAGATTAATTAAATTATAATGATGATATGATAAAATGTACTTTTAAAAGCAGAGATACGTAAAGTCCTGGCCACTAACAGCCTGGATCTCTCTGTAGTTAATAATAAATAACAGAAGTCCACTGTTTGAGAACTTAAGGCACTCATACACAGTTTGAGTCTATTAGTTGTCCATTGGACTGGGACATAGATGAGAGAATTGGGGCACAGTGAGAAATTGAGTATTTATGTTAGGATAATTGGACAGGTCTCTTGTTGAGTGCCACTGGTTAATTTGACCTACTTTAAATACAATTAGCTAATATTTTCAGCAGTGACTCACTGTACACGTGATGTTTCCTTCAAGACCAATCTGCTGAAAAGCTGTGAAGTGGACAGCATCAGCACATCAGATTCTCACGGCCCAGGGTCCTGAATCACAGAGACAGAGAGAGGAGTGGGTTAGCCAGCTATGTTTGGACCTAACTCAGCCTTTCCTCTATCTAAAAGCTAGTTCATTTATCATCGTGGTAATATATGATGCTAACCTGATCCAGAGCTGGTTCAACTCACAGCATCACCTTTGCCAACACATAAATATGGCACACCCTGTAACTTTTATACACATGGCACGGCTTTTATCCACATCAAGTTAGATTACCAATGTCATTTCTCAGGCTTCATAGACTGTGTAATGAGTCTGTATTAAAAAGGACAGTGGTGCTTTAAGAACAAATGCTAACATGCTAATGTATACAGGCTGACAATGAAAATGCTAACATGCTGATAGTTAGGATGTTCAGTTTTCATTTCTATTTCCTAATTGCACGAAACACAAAGTAGAGCTGAGGTTAATGGGAATGTCATTAGTTTTGCAAATATTTGGTCATAAACCGAAGTATTGTAATATATATTTTGACCCGATGATGGTGCTAGATGAAAAGTCAGGGGATCATCAGACTTATTAGGATTCAGCCTCTGGGCATCACAGATACATTTGCCAAATTTCATGGCCATCCATCCAACAGTTGACGAGATATTTTCAGCCTTTGTAATATGGCAAAGAGCAATGTCCAAATGACAGTAGGATGTCACGAGAACCGATTCTTCCCAAGTAGATGCTAAATTCTGAAAACTTGATGGTACTCATTTTCTACAGTACCGTAGGTACCAAAGGTACTGGGGATGCAATTCTTCCAGACCTTATGGGGCAGCACATACGCAAATATTCTAATCTGCTGTTAAATGTCATTGGAAGAAGTGCAGATGTACGGATGTTTTACCCGCTAAGCTTTCATGCACAGTGCAGCCGTCAACACCGTGCAACTCTCTCCGCTCAGCTTTGTGCAGGGGGGCGGGGCTGAGCTTCGGCTCGGAGTCGAGACAGTGGTAAAGCAAAAACCCAATAAGAGTAATTTATTAATGTCATCCGCAAAAGATGCACAGACAATGAAGATAAACACTCAACAGAAAACAGTTCATTCAGGTAACTCAAGCAAAGGCTGCATGAAGCACCAAACATTGCAGGACACTTTTAAAAAGGGAGAGAAATTCCCTCGAGACAGTGACAAGACCAAAAAAAGAGTTTGTTAAGCTACTTTACAGCCTAAATGCAGTGCAGAGCTACTCAGCTGTATTATCGAGGAAAATACAAGTATTGGATTGGGACTCTGTTTCACATACTCTATTAAATGGGGATTGGGGCAAAAACTTTTGATCATCGAATTGGGTATGGAGGAATATTGGAATTTCTGGTATTGTGATATCCCTGTGTGTGCATTATAATGAAGTACTTTAGTGCTGCAGAGATACAAAATCTTCTTCTCTAGGTGTAATAAAACATGTTTGTTTGGTACTACAGACTTCAACAAATGTCTGTGTTTCCAGTGTAAAGGAAATTGTGATGCAGAAATGATTCCCACTAATCATGAGTCATATTGCAATTATAATATCTGTCAAAGTAATGACAATATGATTTTGTTTACCATATCGGGCAGCTCTACCAATAACACTCATCCAGGTACAGTATGCCTGTCTGTTGCCAGAGCAGTGTGCCATGGTTTGCACTCAGCCTTGTGCAAAAGCCAGCAGGCTCTGCATGCAGGAACATTAATGAAAGTGCATCAGCGGAATGGTTGTATGGTAAAACAGTGTTGTAGGAGCAGATGTTCTACTGACACAGACACGTTCCCTGTAGATCAGCTGACTTCTTTACATAGAGACAAACTGTCATACTGATTCCTCATACTGACGGTATCTTTACCTGATATGCTTATAGCAAACTAAGCATACCTAAATGCTCTGCGCCTTGTTGAGATTATTTGCAGCCTGTACTCAACACACAACCGAAACAGTTGTTTACAAGTCCTACATCCATGATGGGCTAATGGGGAATGCAGCACAATTAGTGCACTTCCATACCCACCACTGAAACACCGATACCAATGACAGACCAATTAAACAGCTGATTCCAACAGCCCTTTCACCTAAGTGAAAGTGAAGTTACAGTACTCCACAATACTATACATTTAACTACATATATAACTACTGATGCATCAAATTCAAGAAGCAGAGAAACATTGCCAAGAAAATACACAAACATACTAAGGAGGGCAGGGAGGACTGTGTGGGATTGCTCAAACAATGAAGTGACCTTTAATATTGCAGCAAATCACGTAGCAAAAACAAAAGTACAAGAAAGTGCAAAAGTAAATCACTTACCACCACAGCTTGTGCTAGACTCCACACCTCTCATGTGTTACAGTTTTACATGCTCTAGTGCTAGCAGTGGAAAAGATAAATGTTGGCCTAGAACTGCTGCTGTTCACTGATTTCCTGGATTTCTAGAAACCTTTTCACAGGGAGGAAGGCCACCGTCCGTGCAATTTCATTAAAACCATTAAGTAAAATTACACAACGTGAATTAAAATATCATGACAGTAAATTTACAGATTCATGAGTGGTCCACACTTAAATATGTCAGCAACTATTGGCTGGATTGCCTAGCAGGAAATTCCTTCCACTAAAATACAAACAGTTCAAAAGCATTTCTCCTAAGAAACATTTCACAGTGTCAATGAGGTCTGCACATCAAGCGCCAGACTTTTGTTTTTGTTCTTTTTTTCCATTCAATGCAGCCCCGCTTCCAGAACAACACAGCAAATCTCTTTCACTGATGGAACCACCACTTAGACTGGCCTTGGACCTGATGAAATCAGCCCCTAAATATCTCTCCACATAGCAGGAGTTCTGTTGCAAGGTGGCAGTAGTCCTTATGTCCCGTCTTAGTCTTCCTGCCATTGAGTGAAGCCAGATCCATATTTATGTAATCAAAAATTCAAATAATGAGTAAACAGAGCTGATCAGTGGGCTGGGCTGACATGCTGGCAGATTAAGCTTAAAAAGCAAAAAGAAAACAAATTGCAGTACCAAACTCCCAAAAATATAGTTTATGTCATTTAGAAATAGTGCCTCTATTACACAGTTTGTCCAGCAGAGAGCACTGATTTATTTATCAACTGTAAAATATCCTACCTACACTTATTTTCTTCACACATAATAAAAGTTGGTCCCACACTTTTACTTGCCTTTTTCCGATGGAAAAGTTACATCAGTCGCAGAAGAGGAAATCCAACATACCATTTGTAAGCCAACAAGTTCATCAGACACCAGGGGATAGTCCACAAGGGTGTAAATCACCAGCTTCATCACGATACAATAGTATATAGATTATTTGGACAATGACGCAATATTTTCTGATATCACAAAGTCTGCTACAATACAATCTGGTTCAATTCAGGGGCCTGCGTATGATGAGACAATATCATATGCCGATTTAACACTATCAGTTAGGCTACATGATGACTGGGAGTGTAACAGATGTCTTTACAGTCACAAATATGAGCAGTTAGTAACAGGTTTGAATGGCAGTAGTCAGGGAGGGGAGTCTAAAACAGAG